GGGTTTCTGAGGTGGTATTTCTACAGAAGTAGATTGCCCAACCTTCCTTCCATGGAGTGGCTGGTGGGTTTGAACCTCCAGCCTTCTGAGCTGTGTAACATTTGCCTGAGCAGGGCAAAGCCTGAGACAGCCCAACAGGCCCAAGAGGACTGAGAAGCCAAGGGCCAAGAGGCCAAGGACCAGAGAAAGGCCTGCTTGTAGTCACAGCTGATAAGAGGCTGCCCTGACTGGAGGACTGTATCCTGAGTCTTTCCTGATCCTGAATTGTAACCTATTACTTCCCTAATAAACCTCATGAGTTTTGTCTGTGAGTTCTGTGTGGCCAGTGCAGTGAATCACTAAACCTAGCAAAGAAGTAAAGAGTGCCACGGAGGGACAGTTGATGTCAGAATTAATAAAAACGTTAGAAAGAGGAGTTATCTCTGACTTCTGCTTTTTAAGCATCAGCCTTAGGCTATGCTAATGGTGATATTCTGTCCCCCTCATGAAGTTTGAGGAGGTCAGGCAACTCCACCACACCATTTTTACAGTTGGTGTCAAAAGTGGGATTTGTTGCAATGGTTCCAGATTCATGGAAGCATAGGACTTTGTATAAGAAAGAATGAAAGGGCATAAGAAATAAAATTTTTGTTTTTTAAGATGTTACTTTTATTGTTATCTGTGATGGCTAAAAGGAAAATAAAAGATTTTATGCTGTAGCTGAGGGGAGAAGAGCTGTATCTGGAATGGCTTGGGACAATAGCCAGGGCAGTTAAACAAGATGATTGCTAGGGAACCAGGGTGTTCTGATTCCACCCAACCAGAGGCCCAAAGCCATATATTTCTATGAATGGGAGAATAGTAAAAATGTGGACAATGTTTTTAAAATGGTTACATGTTTATTTGAATGTACTGTAGATATTGAATGTTTCTCCTATCTAGTGTGGTAAAACAGACCTATATGTATGATGAAAAATGAATATTGGGTAATGTAGATAACAGAGAGTGTATAACTCCACTTTCAGGCAATTCTTGACTGGATATGCTAAAAAGGAATTGCCTGAAAGAAACACAGGCTGTTGGTTTGAATGAAACCAACCTGTGTATAGAGTACTGGGGGCTTAGGTCAAAACCTTGAGCCCCATCCAGGAAATTTAAATTTGAAAATACATGCAGACCTACCAAGAACTGCGGAGAAGACAAGAGATTTGCATCTGAAGGAAAGACTTGCAGGGGGGAAAAAAATTAGTTTCCTTTTTAAATTTCAAGCAAGAGGTTTGCCTTTGAGTGCTTTGATGCAGGAAAATTCAATGCCCATCATAAGAACCCCCTTCAAGGATTAGAAATTAAAGGGAGTGATGAGTAGACAGCCTGGTATGCTCACTTTTCATGACCACCTGGGTCCACTCCATGAGTGAAAGTAGGGGAGGTGCAGCAATGAAGAGATGGGCTGAGTTTGTACCTGTTCCGCTGAAACTCATTGACCTAGCCCATGGAAGCTAAGAATGAGAAAGAGAATGGGCTGGCTGGCCTGAAGGGCAGGGAGTTGCATGGACTTTTGAGCCTACAGGTAGTGCCTGTTGACTTAGCCCATGAGTGCTAGAGATCAGAGACAGAGACAGAGAGAACACGCTGTCTGGTCTGAAGTGCAGGGAGGCATTTGGACTCCTGAGTCTATGGCTGGTACCCCTTGACCTACCTACCCCACAGAGGATAAGGATGAGCCTACGAGAATCTGACCAAATGAAAAGAAAGATATTTGCCACCATGAACTGGTGTAGATTGCTGCAATTTGATGGCTTCCTCTGGACTGGACTTTATTTATAGATACAGATGCTCAAAATTCCAACTAGTTACAGAAAATTCTTCAGACTAAAGAACATGCTTCTTTCCTCAGAGTACTGATTTGATAAGGACGGGAAGTTTAAACATTGGCTATCTAAAATGGGGAGAGATAAAGTCATGAAATGACTAGCTTACATGCTTTCGTAAGTGTGCTTACACTCAAAATTAGGGGACAAGGGAAGATCCTCACTGACTAGTTTCCTCCTTTCCTAATGGGTCTCGGTAAGAGAGGATGGGAGGAGATGTTAACAGAATTATATGATTCAGTTGTGACTGTTGTTTGTTAACAGAGTTAATTGTGATTGTAAAGATTGTGATTTTAGAGGCTGGTGTTAAGTGTGAAAATGTGAAGAGGGGAGGCACTGCTGGATTGGTATACAGTAGCCAAACCTAAGGTCCCTTAATGGTTTTTCTCTGCTGATACCTTGTGAGGCTCAGAGCAAAGGAATAATTAGTTAAATTTTATCAGACACTAAAGAAGGTGATGCCAAGATGCCTTTTGGAAAGCCTGACCAGATTAGGTGGAAACTTGAAGCAGACCTAAGTGACCTCACCCTGAGGACTTTTTGCCCTCCTGAAGGACTAATTGTTAATGACCATTTTGGACTCATAAAATGATTGTGAGGGGAAGTTTTCCTTCAAGTATGAAAGAGCCATGGCTAGAAAAGCCAGAGGATGGCCTATGGTGCAATGGGTAATTTTTACATGGTCTTTCTAGCCATAGTCTTGTAACTTCCACCAAAAGATTGGGTAGGATATATAAATAAGGTGCTTATGGCTCACAAAGGGGATTGGGCAGTTTGATAGTAATACAAATAAGGTACATGACATGTTCATGAGGGTAGAACGATGCAAATAAGATGTGTAGAACCCTAATGAGGGGATTGGTCAGTTTTGCCATCCTTCAAGGCTTAAAATGAGCCATCCCAGAGGTGGAAAGAGGGGATACCTGACTACCCCCAAGAAGAGACAAGAGCAGAACATGTCCTTTGGACCTGGGGTTCCTGTGCTAGGAACTATTTAGACCCAGGAGACAGAGCTGTAACACCCGAGACAGCAAGATTTGGTGGGAAACAGTGGCAGAGAAACAGCAGTAGTAGAGGCAGCAGAACCAGGAAAGGAATAGTGCACTGGGCTTCCTGGCCCTCAGAATGAGAGAGCTGAACATCTTCAGGTAGGAGGCTTGCTGGTGGAGTAGGTACCTCTAGGAACTTGGTGAAGTTAGGCTTGCCATCCCCCGGAGCCAGAGAACTGAACACCTTCAGGTTGACTCTGGGCACTTACTGGCAGAGCTAAAGAGTTCTGTAACACTTGCCTGAGCAAGGCAGAAGCTGGGCTAGCCCAGGAGGCCCAAGAGATCCAAGAGGCTGAGAGACCAAGAACACAGGTAAGAAAAGGCTGTCCTAACTGAAGAACTGTATCCTGAGTCTTTCTTGACCCTGAATTATAGCCTATTACTTCCCTAATAAATCCTTATAATCATGAATATTGCCTGTGAGTTGTGTGTGGACACTGCAATGAATTAACCAACCCAGCAGAGAAGAGTGTCATGGGAGGGATGGCTGATGTCAGAATTTGTCAAAAGACTGGAGAGAGCAGGTATGTCTGATTTCTGGTTCATAGGAATCAGCCTTGGGCTGATGCTGATGGTGATTTTCTGTCCCCCTTGTGAAGTTGGAGGAGGTCAGGTACCCTACCACACCATTTTACAAAGTCCAAGGGAAAGCTATTATGCAGGAATGGCCTTTCAACCCTATCAGGTGTTATCTTCCTTTTATCAGTAAATGATGGAGGAGAGAGCAGGATTAAGTTTTCTGCCTCTTTCAAGTTCACTTCAAAATCTCTAATAATATTAGACCTCCAAGTGATTATTGATATCTTTTCTTCTGGGTAATGGTGATTGATTAGAATGATGTTGGTGATGATGATGAGAAAGGGATGCCTGTGGTAAAAGTACATATTGTTGTTAGTTGGTGTTTAGTCAATTCTGAGAGGTAAGTTCTAGCTTTTGCCCTAGGACGGCCCTCTCCTGTAGCTTTCAGTTAGGGAGTGGACTGATTCAGGTTGAGTTAGGAATAAAGAGACAGAACCACTAAAGCAAATCATGTCTCTTAGCTCGAGCATGGGCCTCCACACCTTCAGGCCAGGAAGGCCTTAAACAGGCCCCACAGCAAGGCTTCAAGCACACAATAAGTAGCGAGGTGTTGACCATCTTCTGGGCTGACAAATGTCCTGAAAAATCTCAAACTGAGTGTTAGATGCCATGTGAAGCAACTCTGAAGAGCTTGATTCTTCCTGTACCTTTTCACTCTCTACCTCACTCCCCTCTGCATGCTTCTGACTTTCCCCATCCTCCCCAAATCTACATCCTGCCCACCAACTCCTCTGCTTTCCCAAGAAGAGAAAGCCTTTCCTTTTCTCCCCAGCCAAGCATCATTTCACCCTTTCTTTTCTGCCCCTTCCCCTCTTGGCCAAAGTTAATTTCTCTCCTTAAGCGCTGGATCCCTTCCCCACCTCCTGAGGAACTTACCGCTACCTCTTTCCTTCTCTCCGCTAACAAATGTGCTCAAGTTCTACTTGTCTAAAACCTCTCCTCTCAGCCCTGCCTTCCAATCATAGATACACTGCTTTTTCTTTCTCTTTTCTATCAAACTTCTCTCTCCTATAGCTTTTAACCTGCTTTGCCTTCTCATGATGAATTCTCCTTCCTCCTCACCCTGGGTGGTCCAACCCCCAAAATTCTCTCCAAAATTGTTTCTGTCTGCACTGACTATATTTTTGGATATTTTCTCCTTGATCTGAGTGTCTCATCTCCATGTTCTCAGATTGCAGGAACAGTTTGGGCAGCAGTGACTTTGATGAATGTGTGGATAACCTTCTGGAGATCTTCCCAGTCTGAGATATTGATTCTTATTGAACACATCTTATCTTTCTGCTCCTACAGCTGGCCACCCAAGGGCTTCTCAGACCTGCCTCCTCAGTCTCAGGCTCCACTATGCAAGATCTGTCAGACCCCCATAACAACTATCTAGTGAACAGACGGGGGCAGGAAGCGTGTGCTGGAATGCAGGGGCTGGCTTCCAGCAGATCCACAGCCAAGATAGATGCACAGAAGAGTCAACCAATACTCCAGCCTATTGCATTTTAGAATCCTCAGCAGCCCTGTTGTATTCCAGGTTCTCCAAGCCAGCGCCCATGTTCCTGGATGACTCCTTCCGCAAGTGGGCCAGGATCCGGGAGTTTGTGCCACCTTTTGGGATCAAAGGTCAAGGTATGTTGGGGATCCTGGCCTACTCTATATTAACATCTCATCCCCCAAATTATCTCCCTGTACTTAGGGACAGGGCTGTTCCCATCTCCTATTCCCCCCCACTCTTAATAATACCTTTATCTTCTCTCCCTCTTTCCCTTCCTTCCTTTTTTCTTATTGCTTTAATAGAATGTGTATTAGAGCCTACTGCTTTGCTAGAGGCTAGGTATACAGCAGTGAGGTAGACAGATATGGTCCCTCTCCTCAAAAAGTTCCAGTTTAGTGTAAGATACAGATACTTAGGACAATAAGGACCCTGATGAGAAAAGTGCAAGGTTCTGTGAGACCATGGAAAAAGTGTGCCAGAGGCATTAGAGCTAGAACACTGAGCCTGAAGGGGAAATTTCCCAGAAAAAATAGAGGCCACAAGAATGCCCTGCAACTCCTCCATCATCCCTTTCTGCTATTTGTCATCTTAATCTAGTCTCCCCTCTAGTTTTCATTCATCTTATCCAAGCTCATCTTTCTACCTGTGCTCTCAGAAATTGTCTGCTTCTATTGGCTTAAGAACCTCACCTATACAGTTCTCTCCTAACTCAAGACTTCCCCATCCCTAACAGTTTAACAGTTCCATCTCCTTGTCAAGTCCCTGCCCTGTTTTGTAGCATGATGGAAGAGTTTGGGTTTTAGGTCACACATAGAGGGATCAGATCCCAGTGCTGCCTCTTTGCTATCCATGACCTTGGACAAGGTATTTAGTCTCTCAGTCCTTTAGTTTCCTCCTCAGTTAACTGGAGAGAATACCATTGTATAAGACTGTGATCACAATTAAATAAGATAACTGTTAAAGGGGTGATATTATTTGGCCAAGGGGCTTGAGAATACCTGAACCTTCTACTCAGCTGGCCCGCCCCTCCCTGAAAAGAAGATAGTGGCCAGCAAAAGGACACTCTTGGACTGAGGCTTTGACTTCAAACTTCCAAGGAAAAATCCTGTTGGATTGGGATAAAACATATGAAGAACTCCTTTATTGTGGGTATAGGTTACCAACCAGCCTAATCTTTCCTCCTAAATCCATGCTTTGATCCCACGTACAGCTAAAGGCCAAAAAGGACAATACAGAGCCCATCCACCAACAAGAAGAGAGCACCTGCTGGTTTATGCCCTTTCTGCTACAATTCTTCTCTGCTAAAATTCTTCTGCTAGAAAGCAAAAATCCAATCCATATCCTTGACCTTGACCTTGACCAGTTAGTGCAATCCATTCTCCCTTAGAGGTGAAATTGGAGGTGGGAAAAGGAGGGGATCTGTGGCCTTATATTTGAAGGCACCTTAGTATAGAACATTTATTAAAGATTTGCTCCTTTACCCCATTCTCATTCATTTTCTGGAAACATTAGCTGCCCCTACTATCTCTTCTTTCTTACCATTTACTCCTGGAGAATATCTTCTCCTCTACTATTCCACTGAAACTGCTTAGTGCCCCATAATACCCAAAGGATACTTTTCAGTCCTTAACTTGATCTTTCTTCTACATTTGACAGTATCACCCACCCTCTCATTTTAAAAAATTATAATTTTTTTTTAAATTCTGAAGGCATTTTTTCTTTACATGAAATAGTTCAAGCATACCTAAAAGTATAAAGAATATTATAATGAGCACCCAGCCTAAGAAATAAAGCATGAAATATATTAAAGATTCTGTGTAGCCCTTCCCAACTCCATCCCCTCCTTCCCTCCAGGTAACCATTATCGTGATTTTGGTATTATCATTCCTACACTTGGTCGTGTATTTTTACTATGTATTTATATATCTATTAAAAACATAGGAATTCTGGTGCTGCTGTGGTTAAGGCATTGAGCTGCTAACTAAAAGGTTGGCAGTTCAAACCCACCAGCTGCTCAGTGGGAGGAAGATGAGGCAGTCTTCTTCTGTAAAGATTTACAGCCCTAGAAACCTGATGGGGGTCACTATCAGTTGGAATCATCTCAATGGCAGTGGGTTTGGTGGGTTTTTGTTTGTTTATTCATTATTAAAAAGGTGGTGTTGTTTTTACATATTTTTCAACTTTACAAATGGTATCATTTTATATACTTACAAAATATTCTGTATACAAACACATAAACATTTGTGTATGTGTGTGTGTGTATATACTGTAAAGATTAGCCAAAACTTGAAGGGAAGGGCAATGTACCAAATGTGAGTGATCAACATGGTGACACTGAGGAAGAGGAAGACATAGAGACGTGGATGGGAGGTACAGACAACAAAGATGAACCCTTTTTTTTGCACATAAAGTACTGTGTTTTCAGTGAAGGCAAACATTGATATATGGGTGGATAGGTGGACAGGTTGAATGATTAGGTATGTCTTTGCAGGGGGAAGTGTGCCCATGACCATTTATAGGTTTGGAAGACAGTGTTTCTACAAGTGTATTTGTATGTTCTGTAAGAATTCCCAGGTATATAGTAGAGCTGGCAAGGGACAAGGTTGTAGTCACTTCTTGATTGTAACTACCCAGAGGGAGCAAGTAGTTGGAGTTGTGGGCTTGGGACATGGTTTCAGGGGACATCAAGCACAGTTGGCATAACATACTACACAAAAACATCGTTCCACATCCTACTTTGGCGAGTAGCAAGTGGATCTTAAAAGCTTGCAAGCAGCCATCTAGATGCAACAATGGGTCTCTCCTTGTCCAGAGCAAAGAGGCATGAATAAACCAAAGACCCATGGAAACCCAGTCCAAGGGACTGGTACAACTTGCGATCCTCAGCCTGTGTGACTATGACACCAGAAGAACTAGATCATGCCCGGCTACCACTGTCAACCACCCAGAGGGGGATCTATGTAGAAGATCCTGCACAGAGTGGGATAGCAGTGTGGAACAAAACTCAAAATCATAAAAAACAAAAGGGACCAGGTTTTCTGGTCTGATGGAGCCTGATGGAACCCCTAAGACTGTAGCCCCTAGCTGCCCTTCAGGTGTGGAATTGAACCCACTCCTGTGGCTTCTAGCCAAATAAAAGACAAGCATATGAGCTGAACATTTACATTAGGTAGATACACTCCTTGGAGAGAACAATCATGGGAGAATAGAAGGGCTGTTGGGGCAGGAGTGCATGGAGGGAAGGACAGAGGGAAGAAGAGATAACTATGGGGAGGAAGTGGGAGGGGAGCTGTTCCATTGTGGGAAATTGCAGTCAATGTCATGAGACAAAGTGTATGTGAGCTGCTGTATAGAAAGTGAATTTGCATCTGCTCTGTAAACTTTCACTCAAATCACAATTAAAAAAATTAAGATTTTCTTTCAATAATAAAAAAAAAAAAGCTCAGATTTAACATCTTTGCCACCAGGGCTCTATAATATGTAAAGATTACAGCCTAGAAAACCCTATAGGGAAGTTCTACTCTGTTATATAGGGTCACTGTGAGTCAGAATCAACACAACAAATATATACATATATATACATAACAAATATATATATGCAAAAAAGGGTAAGGAGGCCACATGTTCTCACCTCCTCTAACCACACAAAAGGAAGACAGAATCACCATCAGTAATCCAAGGCCTATTCCCGCAAGGCCAGACATGCTGCCTCCCTCCAGTCCTTTCTCCAACTGTTCTACCCAAAGCACCCACCACCTCTCTGCTGGGTTCAATAATTCACTGCAGTGGCCACACAGAACTCACAGATTACAGGGTTTATTAGGGAAGCACCAGGATACAATTCAAGTTCAGGAAAAATGCTCAGTCTCTCTCTCAGCCCACAGTCTCTCTTCCAACAGTGAGTATCCCTCAGTGTCTCACTCAGCAATGCGTGTGTCTTGCGTCTCTTTCCCAGCAGTGTGTGTCTCTTTCAGTAGCACGTCTTCCTCAACCAGCAGTCAGAGAGAGAGTTCTGCCTCTAGCAGGTCTCCTTTTGAGCCCAGCAGAGTGGCTGAACCAACCAATCATAACATCAGAATTCTAAACACCTGAGAGAGAATGAGAACCTCCCAGAACATTGTTTAGTGCCACGCCCAACAGAAATACCCCAGGTGGACAACTTTAGCAATCAGGAGCTCCTCAGTTGCTCATGGCAGATTCCACCTTGGAGTTTACAAAGACTTATGGGTAGAAAACCACACTAAGTAATTTACACCACTATATATATATATATATAACAAAACACATTACCATCAAGTCGACTCCGACTCATAGCAACCTAATGTGTGTGGTCTGGTTACTTAGTGCCACTCTGACAGGAAACATACAGATGGGATGGCCTTAACAAACAGGAGTTTATTCTTACAATTTGGAGGCTTTACGTCCAAGTTCAAAGTGCCAGGCTCTAGGGGCTGGGTAAAAGCCCCTCAACCTTGGGGTCCAGCTCTGCCTCCTACTCCCAGCCCACTGGAGCTAGAGGCGTTTCTTTACTCAGACAGCTGCTGGCTGCTGAGGCCGAGAAGCCCCACGGTTGACAAGTAAAAAGGCACAGTACTGATGTTACCAAACCACATGGCAGGCCATTAACTTAAGTCCATTGTAAGCCCAAGGTTGGCAGAGCATAGCGGGCTGCTGAGCAACAACACAGCTACATGCAGGGTCCAAGCATGCCATAGGCTAGAGACCATTCCCAAAGCTGCTGCTTATAAGGGGAAGCAGACCACATACCCAAAGCAGCTACTCAGCTGTTCGTGGTAGATCCCACCATGAAGTTGATTTCCAGGCTTATCATGGGGAATAACTACCATCAGCTGCCCAGCCACTCAACCAGGCCCAGCCAAGTTGACACAAAAACATAACCACTACAAAGTGTGTGTACGAGTCCCTGAGTGGCATAAACAGTTAAGCACTCAGCTACTAACCAAAAGGTTGGCTATTCAAAACCACACAGAGGCACCTTGAAAGAAAGGTCTGGCAACCTTCTTCCAAAAGATCACAGCCCTGAAAACTCTATTGAGCACATTGTACTCTGATAGACACAGGTCACCATAAGTTCTAATTGACTCCATGGCAACTGGTTTGTTTATATATATATATATATATATATACACACACACACATGCACGTATGTGTATGTGTGTGTGTGTGTGTGTGTATGGGAGCTCTGGTAGCATAGTAGCTAAGACACTTGCCTGCTAACCAGAAGGCTGGCGGTTCAAACCCACCAACCACTCCTCGAAAGGAAGGTTGGGCAATCCTATTTCTGTAGTGATGTTGTTGTTTGTTGTTATTTGCCATCGAGTCGGCCCCAACTCATAGTGACCCCTCCTTGGGTTTCCGAGGCAGTATCACTATGGAAGTAGGAATGCCCAACCTTCCTTCTGAGGAGTGGCTGCCTCGGAAACCCAAGGAGGGGTCGCTATGAGTCGGGTTCGACTCGACGGCACATAACAACAACAATATATATATATGGAGCTCTGGTGGCATAGTACCTAAGGCATTTGACTGCCAACCAGAAGGCTACCAGTTCACTCCTTGGAAGGAAGACTGGGCAATGTACTTCCACAGAGATACTGCCTTGGCAGCCCAAGGAGGGGTCACTATAAGTCAGAATCAACTCAATGGCAGTGAATTTGGTCTTGGTATATAGATAGATAGATAGATAAATGTACACACACACATAGACCATATATATTTGTGTGTGTGTGTATGTATATGTGTGTATATATATAAAGATTTACTGCTTGGAAACTCAGTAGGGATCACTGTGAATTGGAATCAACTTGATGGCAGTCGGTTTGGTTTTTCTGGTTTATATGTATATAGAAAGGAGCAGAACTCTGGTTTTGTGTTTTTTAATTTGTAAATATATACACACACACATATCTATATATAAAACAAAACTATATGCTATATGTATGTGTGTGATTGATAGACAGACAGATGGATAGATGGATAGTTGAATGGATGGATGGGTAGATAGATAAAACCAAACTCACTGCTGTGGAGTCGATTATGACTCACAGTGACCCCCATTGGGTATCTGAGGCAGTAAATTTTTATGGAAGTAGATTGCCCTATCTTCCTTCTGAGGAGTGGCTGGTGGGTTTGACTGCCAGCCTTCTGGTTAGCAGTCAAATGCCTTAGGCACTGTGCCATCAGAGCTACACACACACACATATAATCTTCTGGAAATTTACTTTTTATGAAACTTTACATTTTTTTAGAGTTTTCTACATTGGTACTTATAGCTCTAGGTCATTGCTTTTTAACTCTGTGTAGTATTCTGTGTATATCACCTTGAATCTATTTTCCTTTGGTTACTCCCAGTGTTTTGCTATTACAACAGTTCTGCAAAGAACATTCATGTATAAGTCTCCTTGAACATATGCATGAGTTTTTCAGTGTCATATACCTAGAAGTAGACGTGCAGTATCTTAGTGTATGTATGTCCAACTTTATTTGATATTATTAGGTTACTCTCCATTGTGACTGTTCCAGTTTACTTGCGTTAATTTTAGGTTTTATCTTAATAACAATCCTGCAAAGTAGGAATTACCATCTTTGTTTTAAAGATGAGAAACTAAATCTCAGAGAAAGTAGGTGCTTTATCGCAGGCCACAGAGCTCATAGTAGCAGAACCAGGATTTGACTCCAAATCCAACGTTCTCTCCTCTCTGTATACCAGAGTTTATAAGGAGAGCAGTCATCATTGCCTAAGCTAGAGAGAGACCAAGAAGAATGAGGTCTGAATGTTGTTGTTGTTATTATGTGCCATCGAGTCAGCCCTGACTCATAGCGACCCCTCCTTGGGTTTCCGAGGCAGTATCACTACGGAAGTAGGATTGCCCAACCTTCCTTCCGAGGAGTGGCTGGTGGGTTTGAACCGCCAGCCTTCTGGTTAGCAGTCAAGTGCCTTAGCCACTATGCTACCAGAGGTCTGAATAGTTACTACTAAATTTGAGAGCACAGAGATCATAAGGGTCCTTGCTGAGTGCAGATGGGCAGATACCAAATTACAGGGGGTTGAAGAAGTTAAGAGCTAGACAGCCTGGCAAAGAACAGGTGGTAAAAGATTGTCAGTGTTAGATGGGAGAAGTGAGGGGAAGAAGGTATCAGACAATAAAGGAGAGTGGTCTGACTGAATGAGCTAGCTGACTGACACCACTGTAGTGCTTCAGTCATTGGTTGTCTCCTCATTTGTTTCTCCGTGTCTGCTTGATGTGTGGCCCTGGGAGCACAGAAGTAAGCAGAACATGGTCTTTGTCTCTGAGTAGGGTCTCCCATTCTAGGAGAAACAGATGCCCCAGCTTCCAGGGAAGATCTTGGGGCCTGGGGATGCATGTCCTTGGGACCTAACTCCAGAGCCTCCAGAAAATCAGATGAGATTCCCAAGGAAGGGATGGAGAAGCCCTAGGAGAGAAACTGCCTGCCAGGGATTGGGATTGGTTCCCGGCAGAGATTTGCATGCCTGCCTGCTGTCCTGCCTCCCAGCTCTTTTCTTAGGGAGAAAGTTAGGACAGTGGCCCTGCCTAGCCTTGTTTCCAGAGATCCTTCTAGCCACCTCCACCTCCTCCCTAGGTGGGGGAGTTCCTTCAGTTCAGGAACTTGTGCTGAGAATGGGTTTGCCTTAGAATTAGATTATCAGCAAACATATGGGAATTTAAGTGACCCTCTAACAGTAACAGCAGTAACCCTCTTCTTTCCACAGACAATCTGATCAAAGCCATCTTGTCAGTCACCAAAGAGTACCGCCTGACCCCTGCCTTGGACAGGTGAGCCACTTGCTGCCCATCCTCCTGCCTCCATCTGTCTGGGTGGTGCAGAAATATTCAGGCCCAGTGGCCTTTCCTAGACATGAGCAGAGTCTCCAACATAATTACACATGTGCATGCAATACACACACTGGCGTGGGTGAAGTGAACGAGGTAGACCAGTCCACTGTGCTTGCACCCTTGGGGCTATAAGCACTTGGCAAGGACATCCAGTCCTCAAACTTTAGAGGTTTGAGGGTAAGAACTGAAGACATTGGGGCTGGGATCAGCCAGCCCAGCATTGGGACTAAGGACTGGGTAGGAGGACCTGAAGGCTATAGGGCTTAAGTCAGCTCTGAAGCTGACAGATCTTGAATGGGAAAAGTCTTAAGGTCAGTGGAAAGAGAAGTAAAATAAGTAGGGCTTTCTTTGGGGCTGCTGGGAGCCTAGGGACTTTTGAGTTGAAACAAGCAGTCTCGAGTTCTGTAATCTGCAGTCCCATCCCATTCCCCTTGCTTGTCTGGCCTAGCCCTCAGCTCAGCCTACTTTCCTCTCTCTCCTGAGAGCTACCTAAGCTTCACTAATGCTTGGGGAACATTTACCCTTGAATGCCCTCTTACTAGAACCCCCTTCTATGCCCTTGTTTTCCTTGGGAGGTGTCAGGAACTAGGGAGGGCTAGAGGGTCCCAAATAGCCTGGTGACCACAATATGGTTCCAGACTCCCTTTCAGAAATGTGGCCAGAAGTCCAGCAGTCTCTTCTTCTATCCCAGCCTGGTCCTGACTAAGGACATGGGGTCAAGGGCCAAAGGGACCGGGGAAGAGAGACCTGGTGGATAGCTTTCCACAGAGGCCTCTGCCTCTCCCTCAGCCTCAGCTGCCGTCGCTGCATCATCGTGGGTAATGGTGGTGTCCTTGCCAACAAGTCTCTGGGATCACGAATCGATGACTATGACATCGTGGTCAGGTAAGCTCCCCAAAGCAGTGCCTCAGGCACCTGAGTGCCCTGGCCCAAACCCTGATCCCTGAGCCTATTGAGAACTGTCCATCTGGCCAGTTGATCTGAGGGCCAACAGAGCCTTAAGAAAAACCCTGGGTTGGAGGGCTTTGGAATGAAGAACTGTATGCTACTAGGTGACCTGTGCTCTTCATTCTCTACCTCTGGGGGCATTCTGGGGTCATAATGCCTCCTAAAGTACCAAAAACAGAAAACAAACCCATTGCCATCGAATCGATTCTGACATATAGTGACCCTATAATACAGCCCCATATAAATGGAAACCTTAGAGCTCTTTGGTGCCCCCCTGCCGCATACATGGAGCTCAGAGCAGGCTCTCACTGGGCCTGCTCTCTGTAGACTGAACTCAGCACCAGTGAAAGGCTTTGAGAAGGACGTGGGCAGCAAAACAACACTGCGCATCACCTATCCTGAGGGCGCCATGCAGCGACCCGAGCAATACGAACGAGATTCTCTCTTTGTCCTCGCTGGCTTCAAGTGGCAGGACTTCAAGTGGTTGAAGTACATCGTCTACAAGGAAAGAGTGGTGAGCTCCCCGTGTGCATCAGCTCCTTCCTTCCCCTTCTTGGCCTGGGCCTTTCTCTGGCCTTCCTCAGCTTCCAAGTCAGCTCCCTCTCCCTGGAGTCCAGCAAAGAACAAGTAGGAACCTTTCAAAAGAAGCATTAATGACCAAAAGCATTAATGGCACCCAAACATAACCAAGGAACAGAGGCCAAGGTCACTGGCCCAGACTCCTGGACCTGCTATACCTGATATCTACTATATTCCCCCAAATACCCAGGCTCCAGGTCCTTTCTTGGCCTTCTCTAGCTAGTCCCTGACCCTGGGTTCAGGCTTTTTTTTGCCCTTAGATCCCCAGGGTAAGGAAAGCTCTTATCTGGCTCACCCCAATAGCACACCTAAGCTTTACACTTTCCTGCCTCAACCTTGTAGTTGCCTCCCCCACACTCTCTTGCCCTCTATGAGGTAGGTCTCTTTGACTCAGGTCTTAAAGCTCCTACCCTATTCTCAGGCAGGGGAAGAAGGCCTATTTGGGCCCTGGGCTATTCTATAGGAACAGCAGAGATCCCTCAATCAGAGGGTGCCAACTCCCAATCTCTTAAGTCCTGGCTTTTCTCCACTCTGTTCTTTTACCACTACCCGGAGCTGGGACCCCAATCTGCCACTGAGTCTGAATCTACCCTTCAGGGATGGTCAGATTCTGTACTCATTATTCCAGGCAGGCAAAGGTCTAGGCTCATTTCTTTAGGGAGCTTATGTGGCAGAGTAGGGTCAGACTCCTCCTTAGTAGACTGCCCACTGAGTCCCCTCCTGAGATCTCTATTTCTCAGCTCCAGGCCTACAGGGATGCTGCCAGCTCGTCCAGGCCTACCCCAACACAGTTGTCAGCAGCTGCCCTCCCCGCTCGAAGGGGAGGGGTCCTACAGAGTTCAAATCATTCATCTTCCAATACCCAAGTCTCTTACCAGAAGAGAATGATGACAGACAGCCTTCCGCCTACAGTAAGAAGCTAGTTGTTTTTTCTGGAGGTTTAGAGGAGAGTTGGGGGTAGGAATAACTTTACCTGCCTGTGGGAGTCTCAGAGCTATTTGGTTTAACTCCATGTCCCTTTACCAAGCAAGGCCAAGTATAGGCAGTGTCAAGTAGGTAGCAAGTGAGAGAGAAGACAGAAGTCAAGTCCAGAAATTCAGGTAGGTGGGACAGTGGGAAAGGGAAGCCCACCTCAGAACCAGACTGAATGAGGCAGCTGGGCTCTGCTGGGTCCAGGCCAGTTCACCAAAGAGAGGAAACGGTGGGGCAGCAGAGTGATCATCTGGCTTCAGCCAGCCCTAGCTGCAAGCAGGCCACTGCTCACTCAAACTACACATAGAATGGGGCCAGACGGGCACCCGGAAATGTCTTTAAGGTATGGCCTAATGCCCTTCCTCAAAGCATGGTAGACATCCAGAGGCTTAGGTGTAGGGCAGGAGAGAGCATTTGCCCCTGGGTGCAAGTCCAAGGGCAAGGGGGCACCAGACAAAGCACAGAATGACATTCATTCTAAGACACCACAAGTATGAAAGGTGCCTGACTATGGCAGCCAAACAAGGTGGGGAGGTGTTTCTGCTGACGTGTCTTCACTATCAAGGTCTATTCATCTTGAAATTGTTGGGGAGGGTGCAATTTAGAGGTTTCCCTAGGTGCCTGGGACCCTTGCTACGTCCCTGGGGGCGCCTCACCAATTTCAGAACTCTAGGGCCTGAGATACTAGCATCTGTAGCCCTTCTCTTTGCCCTGAGGGCAATAGAGTTAGGATTTCAGGTAGGCTCATGTGAGAGAGGAAATGGGATGTTCCTTAGTGAATGCCACGGAGCCTGGGGACCACTTTTTCACCCTGGCCTTCTGTCCAGTTTTCCCACCTGGCACATCTTTTGTCTGCCTGTGCACACCTATCACAGGCTCCCTTTAAGATAAGAGCTCTCAGGGGCAAGACCCTGATCCCATTTCCTTTATTTTACCCCTCAGTGCACAGTCACCATAAAGGTTTGGGAATGGTCTGGAATTAGTACAAACACCAGAGTGACATAGAACAGACAGTCCAAGTAAGGAGGCTAGGCCAAAGAGGTGGGTCAAGGCCTGCCTTTCAAGTTAATTCAAGGCTTTTAAAATTCATTCAAGGGTATAAGGAAAGAAGGAAGAAAGCCAACACTGTTGAGTACACGGGCTTGCCTTGCACCTGCAGTGTTGATTCTAACCATGCAGCCTCCAGGCTGCTGGAGAGCTCCCTGTACCTGTCTGGAGCCTCACCTGTAGAATTCTGGCAAAAGGCCACTCAGGAACAGACGCAGGGCCTCAGCTTTTCTCCAAAGACTGAGGAGCTCCCTGCCTGGTCTGGCCTGGCCTGGGAAGCAGGCAGATCCAAGGTACTAGAGCAGTTGGGAGGAAGAAGAGTGGGATGTGCTCAGGCACATGCTCACCCTTGCTGATGTGTCCTGTCCTGGCCGTGCACGGGGACCTTAGACTAGCCTTGTGTTGGTAAGAACTCCTTCCCAGGGGTTGCTTGGGGTTGAGTCGGGAGGGGAGAAAGGAGACAGGGAAGAGTCCCCTGAACTTCCCTGGGTCCAAAGTCAAACACAGTTCGGACCTGTAGAGTGAGCCGCTGAAGGGATGCCAGTGATGCCCACGGTCTCCCCCTTGCAGCACCCAAAGTGGGTCTGCCCAGGTCCTTTAGGCTGTTGGTGGCCTTGCCCTTAGGGCCATTCTCCACCAGAAGTGCAGAGCTAATGCACTCCCAGGACCTTTTCCATGCACTCCTTCCTTACTCTGGCGTCTGAGAGCCAGAGTGAATGTGGAGAGATTGCTTCTCCAGGCCCCCTCCTGTCTGGTGCCCTGACACGTAGCCCTAGCCACGGGCTTGCCTTGCACCTGCAGTGATGATTCTAACCATGCAGCCTCCAGGCTGCTGGAGAGCTCCCTGTACCTGTCTGGAGCCTCACCTGTAGAATTCTGGCAAAAGGCAGCTCTGTATTCTGGAGCTAAGGCCTGGCTGGGCAGGGCTGGAATAGGCATTAGACCTCAGTCATGACTGCTGCCTCTCTGTCACTCATTGCATATAACTTTCTGGTACCCAGGAGTCCTGCAGGGATATGGGAAAGGGAAAGATGTGGGCAAGGAAGACTGAACAACCCAGAAAACAGCCTGTGACAGGATTGGGCCTACTTTCTTCATCCGTCTGGGAGCTCTCCTCTTCACTATTCATGGCCATTGGTTCCCTGCGTCTCTGGACAGTAGCACAGATAACTCCAAACAAGTTGCAGAAAGGCCTTCATCTCCCAGGTGAATGTTCTCTGATCTTAGGAGCCCTGAGCAAGTGAGCAAGCAGGGGTAGGGAGTTCCCAGCAGGGTGGCTCAGAAGAATACCAGTGGACTAGACAAGTAGGAGAACAGCAGTTGGGAGAGAGGATAAAACCAGAACATGGGAATGTAGCTGTGCAGAAGGCCATAGTGGGAGGAGGCAGTTCTCCTCAGAGGCACATCTGGCATCCATCCATCCATGCTCTCACTCATTTAGCAGACATTTATTGAGGTGTTCATGCTGGTGCTGTGCTGGTCTCTGGAATACAAACATGAATTATGCACTGTTGCTGACTGGAAGTTGCTCACAGTCTAGTATGAGAGCCTTCCTGAAACTAGACTTAATAATGCAGTATGGGGGGGGTGCTGTGGTGGGGAGACACTGATACCAGCCTCCTGGAGGAAGTTAGGAGTCAGAAGGTGAAGGGTATTAAAAGCAAAGGGAACAGCATGTGCAGAAACCCAGAGCAAGTGTGCTTAGTTCAGGAAAGTGTGAGTAACACCACATGGATAGAACATAGCACTATGCAGGTGGTGTGTCAGAAAACTGCTAATGTCCTAGATGCTGGGGCCTGTGTGTCCTCCTCCTGGTGGTTGATGAAGGCTGGAGACACCCTGACCACTGTCCTGAGGAAGGAGCCCTGGGGCCTGGAAAGAATGGGACAAGTGAAGGGCAGAGCTTCCCATCCAATCACTCAGGCCCCATTTCTCCTTTGGGGTGGCCCACTCTACTGGGCCTCAGGGTATCTGGTAACTCAGGACTGCAGAAGCTTCAGGGAGCTCCCTTCCTAGTCCCCTCTGCTCCCTCTTCCCTTTCTTCCTCCCTCATCCTTGCTCCTGAAACTAGAGAGCTGGCCTCACTGCTGAGCAGCCTCTGATTCTGGTCATCAGTTCAGCAAGGCCCTGAGGCCTGGCTCCTGATGGCAGGTGTAACCCCAGCTGAGCATGGGGAGGGGGAGTGGGCAAGGGCTGGGCATGATCCCTGAATAATCTCTACACAGGTTTGACCTTCCAGCTGTACTTCAGTCCCTGGGAAAGGAAGAGGTAGAGGAGGGAGGGAGGAAGAAAGGTCTCAGAGACCAACCTGGGCCCAAAATTCATGCACAGAGGGGACAAGTCCCTGAATTTGAGGGAGTCAACATGGCTAAAGAGGGAAAAGCAGCTTAGATCTTGGAGTCATACAGATATAGATTTAAATTTACAAGTGTCTTTTAATAGCTGGCATAGTGCCTAAGGCATTTGACTGCTAACCAGAAGGCTGGCGGTTCAAACCCACCGGCTACTCCTCAGAAGGAAGGTTGGGCAATCTACTTCCTTAGCAATACCTTCTCGGAAACCCAAGGAGGGGTCACTATGAGTGGGATCCGACTCGACAGCAGGGAGTTTGGTTTTTTGGTTTCAATAGTTGACTTACTTTAGGCAAATTCCCTAGGGGTAGAATTCTTGCCTTCCATGCAGGAGACCCGGGTGCAGTTACAAACCAGTGTACCTCATACAGGCACGGCCACCACCCGTTTTTCAGTGGAGGCTTGCATGTTGCCATGATGCTGAACAAGTTCCAGTGCAGCTTCCAGAATAACACAGACGAGGAAGAAAGGCCTAACAATCTACTTCCAAAAAATCAGTCAGTGATCTGATCTATAACTGATGGTGCAGGACTGGACAGCATTCTGTCCCGTTATACAGGAGGTC